TAAAATTTCTTTGTGTTATCAATGCTTAACAAATCGTTTGCTTGACTAAAAATAGTTGAGAGATTAGATACACCGCTACAAAAACTAGATTGAGGTTCAGTTGAAAAATTCATTCCATAATCATTATGAGAATTGAACGTTTAATCTTTTATCATTCCATAATCATGATGAGAATTGAACGTTAATCAAAGATTAAACGTAATTAAAATTAATTTTAAAATATAATTAAAGTTTCAATTTCCAATTCTCAACACCAATTCATCACAAATTATAAATTCCCCAATTTCTCATTTTCAATTTTCATAAAACACTTATTCACATTTCACGATACTCAAATTAATTTTTAATATCACAATTCATAGTAAACAAATTCTCAAATAACATATAAATTAAAACTCAATACTTATAAGTCATATCTTATAAATTATTAAAACATAAAATATTTAAAACGACAAAAGCAACAAAAAAAAAAAAAAAAATAGTCATTGACTCGCCTAGAGTCTTAACATATATTATTTTGTTAAATTTAGATTCAAAATTCGACCATTGCCATGATGGTTAAGCTTCCAATCATCCTAACTAGAGGTCATAGGTTCAAATCCTTTTCTTAGAGAATTTGTTGAAGATTCCGAAAATGAGAAGCAAATTTGGTGGTCATTTGTCCCATAATTCATGGCTCTAAATAGTTCATTTCTTTATTTATATGATTGACATATATTTAAATTTGGAAGTAATCCCTAGAATAAAGGAATATTTATGTGTCATGACACTATAAATATTTGTGCCTTGCTGGAATTAATAACAAGACATAATTACTATCCTTCGTGGTTCTCTCATTTGTTTCTCTTCCAACTTTATGGTATCAGAGCATAGGGTGATCTGAGCAGGTGAAATGGTCAAAACAGCCATGACAGGTACACGCGGAGAGGAGGAATCAAGAGTCTCAACAGGGACCTCTGATCCTATCTCTACAACTGTACCCATCGCTCTGAATCATGCTCCTATGGCTACAATCTCTGAAACTTCCACTCTCCAAATTACCATGACTCGATTAAATGGCAGAAACTTCCTCCAATGGTCTCGAGCTGCCCTAATGGATATCCGTGGTCGAGGACGTCTGGGATATGTAATTGGAACCACAGTAAAACCAGCAGAAAATGACCCAGCCTACACAACTTGGGACACCCAGCCTGGATCGTGAATTCAATGGAAGAAGACATTAAAGAATCATATCTATATTATTCTACGGCGAAAGAATTGTGGGATGCTCTCACTGTTGCCTAATTGTGGGATGCTCTCACTGTTGCCTTCTCCGATCTGAAAAATTCTGCCCAACTCTTTGAACTTTGGAATAAGGCACGAAACTTACACCAAGGAGATCTTGATATTACACAATATTACAATGCTCTGCAACGGCTATGGAGGGAAATTGATATGTACGTTCAAATCGACTGGAACACACCAAGAGATGCCGAAAAATACAGAAAACAGGTGGAAAAGGAGAGAATTTATGACTTCTTGCCGAAATTGGATGAAGGGGTAGACTACTAGGCATAAAACCAATCCCAGCAATTGATGAAATTTTTGCGAAAGTCAGACGCGAGTCTAGCCGAAGACGCGTCAAGCTTGGAGATTCCAAGCAACTTCCCATGGAAAACTCAGCTCTCGCATCTCGTGGTCCAGAATCGCTGCGAGTGACTAGGAAAAATAATGGTTCATGGTGCGACCACTGCAAAAGGGCGAATCACTCTACTAGACGGTGTTGGGTCGTACATGATCGGCCACCAAACCGAAAGCAATGGACTCGTAATGATGGGAGACCAAATCCAGTCTACTGTGAAGAAAATCAGTCCCGTAATCCCACCGGGTTCCAAAGTACTACTGAAGTAGGCCCAAAAATTTCTGAAAATGTCTCTTTATCTCTCACTAAGGCCCAGCTTGAACAACTTTATAAACTTATTACTCCTACGCCCAGTGGCCAGTCATCTTCAGGTTTATTGACTGAAAAAGGTAGTTTTGTTTCTGCATTAACCAACAGAAGTAATTATGAACATTGGGTTATAGACTCTGGGGCCACTGATCATATGACGAGATGTAAAAAATTATTTCATTTTTACTCACCATGCCCTGGACATTTTAAAATAAAAATTGCAAATGGGTCACTCGCTGCAGTTGCTGGAATGGGAAGTATTAGACTCAGTACATATGTTGAATTAAAATCTGTTTTACATGTCTTGCTTGCAACCTTCTTTCTATTAGCAGATTAACAAAGGATTTGAATTGCAGCATTAACTTTACTGAATCATTGTGTATCTTTCAGGACTTGATTTTGGGGAAGAGGATTGGCAATGCTAAAGAGCATGGGGGACTATACTATTTTCTGGAAGACGCCTACTTGAATAAACAAGCTCAAACTGCAAGTTGTGAATCTATCCCTAGAGAAAAAGAAATAATGCTATGGCATCGTCATTTAGATCATCCAAATTTTTCATATCTTAAATGTTTATTTCCATCCTTGTTGCGCAATAAAAATAATTTTCAATGTGATATCTGTCAACTTGCCAAACATTCTCGTTCTTCATTCCCTTCCCATGATTATAAATCTTCGTTGCCCTTCACTTTAATACATAGTGATCTATGGGGTCCTTCTCGAATAAAATCTGTCACTGACAAACGTTGGTTCAATTTACAGATGTCATACGAGGGTATGTTGGGTCTGCTTGTTGAAAAATAAGACCGAAACTACATAAATTTTTAAAAAATTTTACTCTATGATCTAAGCTCAATTTCATGCAAAAATAAAAATCTTTAGAACCAACAATGGAAGAGAGTACTTCAATCAAGCCTTAGGAGACTTCCTCACCGAAAAAGAAATCATTCACCAAAGCTCTTGTGTCATTACCCCACAGCAAAATGGAATAGCCGAAAGAAAAAATCGTCACCTCCTTGAAACTGCTAGGGCACTTATGTTTACCAGTAGAGTTCCAAAACACTTTTGGGGGATGCAATTCTTACTACATGTTACCTTATAAATAAAATGCCTTCTCAAATACATAATTTTGCAACTCCCCTAACTATTCTGTCAAAAGTATACCCACAAATTCGATCTATATCATCAATACCCCTGAAAGCATTTGGATGTACTGCCTTTACTTATATCCATGATCACGAACATTCCAAGCTAAACCCCAAGGCTCAAAAATGTGAGTTCTTAGGCTACTCATCAAATCAGAAAGGTTATAAATGTTATTCCCCAGATACTCATAAATATTACATATCCATGGATGTCACTTTATTTGAATCTCTTCCTTTTTTTCCCCAAAATTCCCCTCAGGGGAAGGAACGCAATACCTACGATGGGAATTTTTGGGAAATTTCACCACAGGCACCTATGCCACCCATTGAAGAGAACTCTACCTCCATATTTGAAGCATCATCTCCCACACTTCTCGATTCACAACATGTTGACCCTCCAGTATAACAAAGTTCAATGACAGGGGGAGATAAACAACTTGCTGAAACACCAGAGCTACGTGTATATTCAAGGAGAAAAAATCCAGAAATTTTAGAACATTTCACAACCCAACAACAAAGCCATGGGTCTAATCCGAATTCAGGTAGCTTCCTTAACACACAGATTGATGATAATAATGATTTGGATGTTCTTATAGCACTCAGGAAGGGAGTTACATCTTGTGCACAGCACCCTATTTCGGACTTCATTGGATATAGTCATCTATCCAACTCTGCTCAAACACTTGCAACGAACCTATCATCGATCAAGACTCCAAAGTCTATTCACGAAGCCTTGGAAATCCTAGAATGGAAGAAAGCAATCAAGGAAGAAATGGAAGCCTTGAATAAAAATAAAACGTCTCAGATTGTGGAAAAACCTAAGAATAAGCGTGTAGTTGGGTGCAAATGGGTGTTTTCAATAAAATACAAGTCAGATGGTTCGGTAGAATGCTATAAAGCCAGGTTAGTAGCAAGGGGATATTCTCAGACTTATGGAATTGATTGCCAAGAAACCTTTGCTCCAGTTGCGAAATTGAACATAGTGAAAGTCCTTCTGTCTCTAGCAGCTAATCTAGATTAGAAACTACAACAACTGGATGTAAAAAATGCTTTCCTAAATGGCGACCTGGAAGAAGAGGTATATATGGATCTTCCCCCTGGATTTAATGAGGCTAAAACCGAAGGAAGAGTCTGTAAAATGAAGAAGTCCTTATATGGGTTGAAACAATTCCCACGAGCCTGGTTTGATAGGTTCATGAAAGTGGTATGTCAACAAGGATATAAACAAGCCCAATCTGATCACACCATGTTTATAAGGCATTCAGGTGGAAAAATTACCATCCTAATAGTTTATGTGGATGATATAGTCTTGACAGGTGATCACTATGATGAAATGGAGAGATTGAAAAAGGCTCTTGCGACCGAGTTTGAGATAAAAGATTTGGGTCCCTTACGATACTTTCTAGGACTGGAGGTTGCTAGAAATAGGAGTGGTATCACTATTTCACAAAGAAAGTACGTATTGGATCTCTTAAGAGAAACAGGTATGTTGGGAAGTAAGCCTGCTGATGTCCCTATAAATCTCAATCACAAACTGGGGGATTGCTTGGAAAGTACACCTGTTGATAGTGGAAGATATCAACGTTTAGTAGGCAAACTTATTTACTTGTCACACACAAGGCCGGACATTGCTTTTGCAGTTAGTGTTATAAGCCAATTCATGCATGCTCCATTCAAAGAGCATATGGAGGCTGTTCATCAAGTTTTGAGATATCTGAAAGGGACTCCTGGGTATGGACTTTTCTTCATAAAGAATTCGGGAAGAACTATTGAAACTTTTACCGACGCTGAGTGGGCTAGTTTAGTAACAGACAGAAGGTCTACAACCGGTTATTGTATCTTCGTGTGGGGAAATCTAGTCACTTGGAGAAATAAAAAACAACCAGTTGTGGCCAGGAGCAGTGCTAAAGCTGTATTCAGAGCTTTGGCACATAGAATCTGTGAAATAATGTGATACTGTTAAGTGAACTTGGGATTAAAGAGAATAAGCCTATGAAAGTTTATTGTGATAACAAGGCGGCCATTGCAATGTCACACAATCCTGTTCATCATGACAGAACAAAAAATGTAGAGGTTGATAGACATTTTATCAAAAAGAATATAGAAGATGAGACAATATGCATGGTATATGTACCTTCATCCGAGCAGGTTGCAGACTTATTAACAAAGGGTTTATTTAAACCCATGTTTGGAAAAATGGTGGACAAGCTGGGGTTATTTAACTTGTACCCGCCAGCTTGAGGGGGAGTGTTGAAGATTCCGGAAATGAGAAGCAGATTTGGTGGTCATTTGTCCTATAATTCATGGCTCTAAATAGTTCATTTCTTTATTTATATGATTGACATATATTTAAATTTGAAAGTAATCCCTAGAATAAAGGAATATGCATGTGTCATGACACTATAAATATTTGTACCTTGCTGGAATTAATAACAAGACAGAATTACTGTCCTTCTTCGTGGTTCTCTCATTTGTTTCTCTTCCAACTTTAGAATTAATTTTGGTAAATATTGTAGAAATAAAAATTTTGCACAATAAAATGGATGGGAAGGACTCGAACCCAAGACTCACAATATATAAATGCAAGCTATAACCAACTAAGCAAAAGAGGGGTTTGAAAATAAAATAAACTACCAGTTATATAACCTAAAATTTTTATCTATTATTAATAAAAAAAACATTTTTCCCAACGAATCCAACTGGGGTGCACCACCTAAATCCGCCCTGGTTAGAAGGGCTTAGGCTATCCCATAACGGACAATACGTATATTAACGGCTTAGGCAAGAAAGTCAGATCGTTACATAACTGCACAATTTCATAAGGCAGAATCAAGAGGGATTTTCATCAAATAATGCAAAGAGGAACTGCCTGCTAGAAATAAGAATTTTATCCACGTAGAATATTTACAATGCAAAAGTTAAGCACAAGTCAAAATATAAGCAGGTGCGTACCAACACTTTCTCGTAGGTGCATTGATATTGAATTCAATTGTGCCTTGTTCTCGTATAGACGGTTCACAGTTTTTCTAGATCTCACAAGTTCTTTAGCAAGTGCCTGAGAGGAGTATAAGAAAATTCATCATTGCAAACAATAAATATGATTTATTTATCAGTCTATTGCAGCTATCAAGAGGTAATAACTGGTTTTTTCTAGAAGGTCTTGAACATTTCATATCGTGTAGGGTTATCTGAGGGCACCATTCTACGATGGTGATTGGAGTAAACAAGCATGGCGGTAGGCAACATAGCAAATAGCCAATGACCAAACTACGTGCAAGTACTTGGAGTATAATGTTCCAGAGAACAACTTTAGTGATAGCTAGTACTGTATGTTGCAATTTGCAAGCAAGTTGGTGTACAGGGAATTGTTAGACTTTCAAGTTATTATCTGATGACTTCATGACTTACTCGGTATAATTGGAATGCACTTGTCCAACTAATTAATTTCATCATTAAAAAGAAATTTATTAATCTTGAAAAGAAGTTAAAAAAAAGTTGTCCTTTATTACATAAGTAAAACAAATCGGCAAAATAATCATGAGATAGTAGTAGAGTTGATAAAGAGAACATCTAGTGACTAATGCAACTGAATGCAAATGTAGTGTTTGCCCACAATGAAGACAGGAAATCGACTTTGTGAACATAAAGCTCTACTTAGTAATTAGTATTCAACAATATACACCAAGGAATGTTTAGCAAAGCTTAAATTATAACATAAGCCGGCTAAATACTTTTTATTCACACATTTCGTAGGATTCACAACTATTAGCCTCTTATTATTCACATAGGATTCATGCCTTATAATCAATTAAATTGAAATTTAAGAACTCCCAAGCATGTTCTAGTATTCAAACTTATTGAGAATTGAAGGGAAAATTATACCCTAATACAGCACTTCAATGACTTGAGCATCTATTTTCCCAAACAAGATACATCTACGTTACAAGAAACAGGTTAAGGGCATTACATAAATAAATAAAATCAGCAGAATAAAAACGAGATATAAGCAAAGTTGGATAAAGAGACCACCTAGAGATTAATGCAATTGAATGCAAATGAAGTGTTTGCCCATAATGGAGACAGGAAACCCACTTTGTGAACATAAATCTCAAATTAGTAATTTGTATTCAACAATATATGTCATGTGCATGTTTGGCAAAGTTTAAATTATAATTAAACTAGTCAAACATACTTTTTATCCACATATTTAAAAGGATCCACAACTATTACCTTCTTATAATCCATATATTAAGTAGAAAATCCACAACTTATAATCATTTAAATTAGAATTTAGCACTCCCAAGCATACTTTAAATATTCAAACCTAATAGAGAATTGGAGAGAAAATTATACCTTAATATAGTGCTTTAATGACTTAAGCATATACTTTTCCAAACAAGAAACATCCATGTCACAACTGGGTTAAGTGCGTTATATTCTGTTTGTTTTCTTTCTAATATTGAATTTATCGAAATCTCCAAATTCCTGAGGATCCGAAAACTAAGCAATATTCATAACCTAAACCTATTTTATTTATTTGATGAGAAAAAATGGATTATAACATAATATTAATTTACTTATAATGTTTTAGTGCATCTTTTCTGACCTAGGCTTTTGGAGAGCAACAATTAACTGTATCTTTTCCCTGCAGTTGTATGGAAGCATTTTGATTTCATCATTTTGTACTCTCAGCTTCCAACTTTTTCCTCTTTTCTTGTATCCGTCCGAAAAATAAATGTAAAATCAAGTAATTATGACTAAAACACATTTTTTAGTGTAAGTAAACAGAAAATGCATGCGCTTGGATACATTTTTTGAGCAAATGATCATCACAAACACGACATAAAAAAGGCCATCTTTGGTAATTTCAAACGTAGAGATTTAAAAGGGCAAAGAAATGAAAAATATGTTTTTTTTTTTCCTTTCTTGGAAGCATTTCATGAATTCGACTTCATGACTGTAAACAAACAAATACATTATCTTATTTCACTGTCATGTAAACCAGATTTCCTAGGGCTTTCTTCTACATGTTATCCCCCATTCACCCCAGCCGAAAAACAATAATAATAGACAATATCTAAATCACATTTTGTAATATCATTACTTAACAGTTTGAAGAAAGAGAAAAACTAGTAATTTCAATCAACCACTGGGACAGACGCTGATTACACATCATGCCACCTAAACTGGGTACCAATCATCATTACTCACCAACAAATATTAAATATTAATAATAACAACTAAAATTCAATTTCAAAGTGTTCTAACATCGATCAACGGCAGAAACAACATAAATCAATAACATTTAAAGATATAACATCAGAGCTTTAATATGCCTTAAAGGATACCTTAGCAGAACCCATGTCATTTCTCTTAGCAGCCTCTTTAATTGCTTTCTGTACATTCTTCTCTTCTCTCTGTATATCTAATCAAACCCACCAATAAATATATAAATTGAAAATTTTCCGACCATAAATAAATCCAATAATCAGAAATCTAACCACCAAAAAATTTTAAAAAAATAAATAATAACCTCGGATTTGGCGTTCGATGTTGCGGCATTCTTGGCGAAGTCGACGCTGCCAATCTCTCATTAATTGCTGTGGGTTTGGTTTCTTCAACATATTCATCATTTTTTCCATTTTTCTTCCTCCCTTCAGTTAGGGTGGGAAGGCAGGGGGTTTCTCTACTAATACACCGAGAAAATTGAACGGAATCTCTTCTCAGTTGCGTGAGAATACTGCTATATGATATTCGGATTCAGATTCTGCGATGAATTTGTTTATCGGATTTTCTAAAAGCATTAAATCAAAAGAAAATTGGTGGAAATAAAAATAGAAAATTTTAGATGGAAAAGGAGAACATTTTCGTGGAATCTGTGAGCAAAATAGAGCGGGGGAACAGCGCGTAGTCGCCGCATGATCGGAAACTTCGGTTGTTATCACGAGTCAAATAGTTGGACATTCATACCGTCGTATTTCTTTTTCTTTTTTTATTCTTATAATTCCTTGATTTAGGATAAATTAAGGAGTGTGTTTAATTCCGACTTTTAATGATTTTTTTAAGTAGGTGATTTTGTGAGTTAAATGTTTCAATAGTTACCGAACTTTATATCATGTCACAACTTACTCGTCGAATTGTATCAATTGTCTCATTAGCCAGTGAACTTTGCTCCGTCATTGTCTATTACGTAGGATGGATGGAGTAAAAAAATGATGCTTACGTGGAGGATGAAAAATCAATGTGAGTTGTTAATTCAGTCCTACTATAAATTCACTCGCCAACTTAGTGCCATGTCATTATTTTCCAAAGAAGACATTTACCAAACACGGCTTTACCAAAATCATTAGAAATGCATAGCCAAGAAGAAGATAGAAATCCAGAAAAATGAAAACCCAATTTCTCTGTGATCGAAGTCGAGATTGTGACCCCTAATCCCTAAAATTGAACAATCCCCAAATGCAGTTAATCATTTATCGAATGTTATGGTTGAAGCTCAATTTCCGTAGAATTCAACCAATAACAACTAAATTGCAACCAAAGTCAACAAACAATTGGATATAATCAGCTAGAAATCAACAACCCAAGCTGTAATTCTATTAATTAATTTGAAGTTTACACAGAAATAACAAAAATAAACAGAGGAAGAAGGGGGCAGAATGGCAACAGCAGAAGACAGGAAGAAGAGCAGAAGAAGGAGAACGAAGAGGAAGAAAAAGACAAAGAAGAAGATACCAGAGAAGAAGAAGGAGAAACAGGAGAAGAGGAGAAGAAGGTTGGCAACAGCAGTAGAAGGCAGAAAGGAAGAAGACACGATTCAATCCAATTCTACATACTCATCGTCTTCAAAACTAAACTATATATACAACCGTAAGAGTAAAGGGCTTGGGCTACCCACTAATAATACAAGCCCAATTACATAAAATAAAATGAATGGCCCAATCCACGACTTCCATTCCCCTTAAATTAAACTTGTTTTCAAGGTTTAAAGTTAGGATGTTTTCTTTGTATGAAATTGGCCGTCTCATTATCTTCACCATCCATGGATTAAGCAAGTAGTCCAAAATGACATATGTCTCATTACGCTCCTCTTCATACTCATATATGGCATCTTCATCAGGAGTCATATCCTCTGGCCTCTGTTTTTTCTCAAAAATTTTCTCTTCATCTACAGGGGGTCTGTTTTCATCTTCCTAGATCGGACTCTGAATTGTGTATTCATCTGCAAGCATCTTTGAATCGAAAATTACTTTAAATACATCACCATGTTGAATTAGTGGGGTATTAAATTCCCATTCTCCGACAATTTTACCACCATTCTGGAATGACAAAATAGCATAAGCTTTTCCTATAGTTATCACTTCTGCCTTACCATATGTAATGCCAACCTCCTTAGCAATAGCCTGAGAAGTTCTCCAATAATCACCGGTAACCAAAATAGGATTCCCGCCATTTTTCAAAATGCCCTCTACTACAATAGCAACTTTTCCTTTCAATGTATATGCTACCTCAAATATACCAATTAGATCATTATCATATGCCTCATGTATCCTTGTTCTTGCATTTTCGATTTCATTTCCACCTTTAGCAAAAGCATTCAATGGATTATGAATTTGTCCCGACCATAACGACTGACTCCTAATTTTACCCCAAACAATATCTCCTACATGAAATCCATGATCTTGACCTACTAATTTTTCTTCATTCTCTACTTTTTCATTATGAGAAACCACAATTCCCCCCTCAACGCACATTTCTTCTCTTGTATTCTCAGCAAACCTCTTACACAAGTCTTCAAAGAAGATATCCCAATCTTCCCTAGGATTGTTTGCAATGAATCCATAAAACCATACATAAGCCTTTCCTTCCAAATACTTCTCAATCATTCCTCGCCTCAGTTCTTCAGAAATCTAATGGAGTTGGAAGTATTTTCTAGCTTCCCTTAGCCATTCCCTAGGTCTTTCTCCCCCAAAATGTGGAAAATCCATCTTAGCCTCTCTATTTTCTCTAGAGTTACCAGAATGAATTTCATTTCTTTTAAGGATACCCCCACTAGTTTGAGATGGTGACCCATGTACTTCTACTTATTTTTCTTTGCAATCAGCTTTACTCCCAGATAAATGAGCTAACTTCAACACCATAGACTCCTGTGTAGCCTTTATTTCTCCCATCATTTGTTCCATCCGGTCCAGGCTAGTACAAATACCCTATAGATCAGGTCGTTCGTTTTAAAGGCCACTTCCAAATTTGATATTTGCTCCTCATCTGATTTGCTTCTATTTTCTACCATACCCAGATCACGTAGCTGCTCTGATACCATTTGTTATGGTTGAAGCTTAATTTCCGTAGAATTTAACCAACAACAACTAAATTGCAACCAAAATCAACAAACAATTGGATATAATCAGCTGGAAATCAATAACCTAAGCTGTAATTATATTAATTAAGCTGAAGTTTACACAGAAATAACAGAAATAAGTAGTGGAAGAAAGGGGGCAGGATGGCAACAACAGAAGACAGGAAAAAGGAGAAAGAAGAGAAAGAAAAAGACAGAGAAGAAGAAGGAGAAACAGGAAAAGAGGAGAAGAAGACTGGCAGCAGTAGTAGAAGTCAGGGAGGAAGAAGACACGATTCAATCCAATTCTACATACTCATCATCTTTAAAAGTAAACTATATATACAAACCTAAGAGTAAAGGGCTTGGACTACCCACTAATAATACAAGCTCAATTACATAAAATAAAATGAATGGCCCAATCCATGACATCGAAACACCTATCTGCCATTGTTGACCACTTGAGGAGCCCATTGCGAGCGTGAAGAAGCAGCAGCGAAGTCAACATAGATGGACCATATGAAGGTAAAGTCAAAACATTTTTTTTCACTTCTGTAGCATATTTCATAGTTTGAAGATGATTTTTGTGAGTTATTGTATACGAATATTAGGATGGTATTACTAGTTCTTATGTTGGTCTACAGATGGTTGTGAAGGGATTGTCATCTATAATTTTTGAATTGAACAAGATGAATGATTGAATTGAACTTGAAATTAGCACTTTGATTTTGTTGTTGAACTGAGATGGCCGTGTTGAAAATGAGGAATGATTTATTATTAACAATTTGAATTGAATTCTTTGATGGTAGTTGTGATGCAGCTCTTGGCTAGGAAAGTTTGGAGATTGTTGGGAAATTAAGTTGCTATTTTTACTAGCATTACTACTTTTATTGGTGTGTTGATTCAGGTATTTGAAAGTGAGAGAACAAGAAATAGGGATGACAACTTTCTTGGTAAATTTGAGCTCTCAGGCATTCCTCCAGCACCAAGGGTAGTTCCTCATATCACGGTGTGCTTCGACATTGATGCTAATGGTATCTTGAACGTTTCTGCTGAGGAGAACCCCACTAGGCCGAAGAACAAGATCACAATTATCAATGACAAGGGTAGACTTCCCAAGGAGGATGTTGAGAAGACGTTTCAAGAAGCATAGTACAAATATGAGGATAAGGAACACAAATTTTTTTATTGGCCATGGTAAACGAGTTGGTTTTTTTTTCTTTTATAGGTAATCAAATATTTTATTAATCATGGATGATACATAGAAAGTATTTTATCAATTATTACAAGACAGAAACGACATAAAATTGGGCAACCCGTCTACGCGAGTAATAACCATGGCATTAAACTAAGTATATATTGTCAAATGAAATAATTCTTTAATCTACTCTATTGTCCATGTATGATCATCGAAACAGCTGCTATTTCTCTCCCTCTACACACACCAGACGATGCATCTTGGGAAAAAGTCCCAAACAATCTTGCTATCTTTATTACGAAATTTTCTCCCCCATGCCTTCAATACACCCTTCATACACTATGGAAACACCAAATCTATGTGTTGAGAAGCCAAAATATCATTCCATAGGGTACGAGCATCGTCACAATGAAGGAACGAGTGATAAATCGTCTCTCTATTCCTCTGACACATATAACACCATTCTGTAACATGCAAATGAGTTAGTTACAATCTATATGGAAGCAAAGTGAGACATATTACCTGTGTGATAAGTTTATGACATCTTCACGAACTTTCTGGTATTTGATTATAATGACAATTGACGAGGATCATGTTAATAATTTATCACATTATCAATAGAAATATATTTATTGCTACCAAATTTGTTGCTTTGGTAATTCCTTAATATCGGTATAAAAATGGAGATTTTGATTGGGATGTGAAATTGTGAATGAATGATTAAACATGAAGAAAGTCAACCTCAAAGTTCTTATAATAAATAAAAAAACTCTCGTCCAAAGTATCAAAAATATGCTAAGTAATATAACAATGACTCCGAGGAGGTGCCTTGATGTGATAGATAACGGTCATATTTTTCATTTTCATGGGAAAAAAATGGGAAACAAACAGGTCAAATGAAATCAAATCAAACCAAATTAACATTTTCATCTAAAAACTAAACAAACTATACACATTCAAGCAGCGAAAAATTTAATTCCACCAGTAAGGGCATGTCCCAGAAGTCTGTTGCCTTCAAACTTCTTTTTCTTCTTTATCCCACAACAATGAACACGTTTTTTTCTCGTTTTTCACCTTCCACTGTGTATATCTTTGATTGAGAAAAACTTCAACAAGACATCCGAAAACAAAAAGATTCCAAGTTAACTTTGAATGTAGGATGGGAATCATGAAGATGACCATTGATATTGGGTGATGGAACCACTTCAATGCCGTGAACACACTGAGGGTTTGAGAGTCCCCTGTAATACTTACATTACATCCTATGAGATCAAATGAAACCTTTATCAACACTAAACGAAAAGGGACCTCTCTTTGACAAGAATGCCTATTCATATAACTCTAGAGCTGCATCTTTCCCAGAGCATTCTCAAGTTTTTCCTTGAAAACCCACATATACATATTTTTCATATCATGTTGAACCAATAAATCAAGCTGGAAATCAAATTTATCAAACCTAGAAATT